ACTGAATGATTCTGTAGCATCTTTCTAAAGGAGCAGTTAGTAATGTGTGAGGCTTGCTAGTTGCTTTTATATATTTAGACGTTTTGTTTGTTCTAGACAAAAATACATACAAGGACCAAAACAGAATTAAAAAGCCCAAAGTTGGGCTCAAGTGAGAAGACATGTAAGGTTTGCTATTTTTGTATTCTAATTAGAGAAATTAGTTTACCAACTGTCAAAATGATCCATTTGATATTTAAAAATCAGAGACTACTTTACAGAGATGCTTTAAGGGCAATTAAAAACACGTGCAGATATTCTTAATAGTGACCATTTGCCTTTAAGTAATCAGCAACAATTCCTTGGAGAAGTTAAACATGAATCTCCCTTTTTTTATAGCATGCAAAAGGCTCGTTGCAATTACTAAATATATATTCTCAAAAATGTACAGTATGTAAAAACTGTTAGAATTGCTTATCTGTCAGTTATGTCTGTTAGTGATCACTATGCATAGTGAGAGCATGAAAAGAAATACAGAAAAATAAAAATTGGTTAATCAAATTAAAGTATGCATTTTTTCACTGATTCAAAATTACTAAAAATCAAAATACACTCCCATTTATCCAGATGACCCAGGGGACAGAGGTGACTCTAGCCCATTGGGGGCCCAAAGCAGAAATGCCCCCCGCCCAACACAAACTAAAAAAGCAAATAGAGGGCTCCCTTGAGCTGCTCAGGACCCTAAGCAATTGCTTATTTCTGCTTATGCTTGGAGCCAGCTCTGCTGGGCAATATCCAAAACTTTCAGATAATTGGGCATTTGGATAAATGGAAGTGTTATTAACTAACCTAGGACTACATGGGGGGGGGGGCACTGTGTGGATTTGGATAAATAGTATTTTCAGATAACTGGAATTATAGTATACTACCTTCTGTTTGGATGCACAGCTGAAGGCAAGCCCAGTTGTTCCCTGTGAAACAATAATATTTTTGGTTCTCCCTCTTAATATAAACATTTTAAAAAATCTGTATGAACATAAAGCCACAATCTGCTTTCAGAGACACATGTGCAATTCCTATAGACTTCATTAGGAGTCAGTGGGAGAGGTGTGAGACTTGAGGGGGGGGAGGGGGCAAAATTTGGTCCCCAAATGCTTATCTAAATCTATATTCAGCCAGATAAAGAAGGTGAGTTGGTAATACCTTTTCAGGGAAAGCACCATTTAATTGATAACTCATCGTTTTAACTAAATCTTCAATAACTAATTTTGAAATTAAGAACTTCCTCTGCATTCCGGATGGTGTATGCTTAATGAATGGTATCTGGTAAAGCTTTGGTAAGAATTAGGCTATTGTCTTTGCCAGGGGAGGACCTCTCAGTGTAGTTCTAACACCTTTAACGCTACAGTGTTTCTGGGATTGGTCTGGCTTCTTAGATATTTATGGTGCTCTTTGGCAAGTTTCCCTCATGAGTTGTTTCTGCTAGAGACAAATGGAACATAAACCCTGACCCTTTCTGGAAACTAGAACTTCCAGTGCTAGCTACCTTGGGGATGTGAATCTTCCTGGGAGATGTGGTCTCTGTGGATCTTGCTGGGAGATTTGAAGTTGAGAGATTGGTCCATTTTCTTGAACAATCATCAGTGAGCTACAAATTAATCCAGAGCCTTTAAATTCAAAAAGTCTACCCACCCAACTCTTCTTCAGTGTACACAATTCTCAGGCAGAGATTGGAGAAGCTACCATTGTTTATGGCACTGTGGCACAGTACAAATATTGCATTTTGAGTTTTGTAATGATAAACTACATATTCAGAGAAAAATGCCAGTTTATTCTATGGACTCCTTTTAATATCTCCCAGAAAGCTATAAATAAGTGTCATCGCTAATAATTATATATTGCCTACAAAGTAATCCACAGTTATGCCCACTATTTTGATATAAACTGAAATCAGAAGCTCATATTAAGAGCGAACTCTCCAACAAATGATCATGTCAGCAACAGAGCTATTTTGTAAACTTGTCCTGTAAACAAAGCTGTAAATTGTGAATTACCTCTTATTCAAATTATTCCATACATGTGTATGAAAGACTTCTATTAATTTTAATGGGAGCTGGATCGTCAGTGACCTTCATGCATTTAAAAATAATTAACTAGTGAATTTAGGCTGTGAGTTACCCATATTCAAATTAATAAGTACAAGTCACAGTTCAAGCCAGGGCTCTTTCTATCTAATCTCTTTCATGTTAATTGAGAGAAAGTTATTCCCCACTTGGATGCTTTTACTGTGTGTCTTTTTAAATTTTAAAACAATACATGGGAAATCCTATTTATGTGCAAACATAGCTGCACGTTGGCTAACACACACATCATAGACCGGTCCTTCTTTGATATCAAAAGTGTGTATTAGGTATTGAAAGGGAATCCTCCTGATCCCCCTTCTCTTGTGATTCTTATTTCACTCAGGTCCTAGAGAGTCCTTTTGACATTTTCACCTATTCATTGAGGCTCTCCATTGTGGCGGCCACCTTCTAGCTGTAGTCACCATCTCCTTTAAAAAGCCCCAACTCTGAGGGCTGCATTCCTATGTAATGAACATTTTTACCAATCTGCTTAAATGTTTTTCTTCATTCATTCTTTTTCTAGTCATTTCCATCTCTATTGCAGGTACCCACAAAACTAGGCACATCAAACCCACAGGGCTTTTAAGTCTATTAAACTTACGGGCTGAAGAAATTCTTTATCTTGCTTTACAAAAAACAAAACAAAAAAACCCTGCCTTGCCATTTACACCATTTACCAAAAGCTTAAAGCATTTAAGGTTTTAATATCTCCCATTCTGCTTCATTATTCTCAGTCCCTCATGCATGCTACATCATCAGATGTCCTTACTCTGATGCCACTTCATACATTAACAAGAGCCCTAAAATAGAATTTGAAGGTTTTCTCTTTATTTTAGTTAGGTTTAAGATGTGTGAGGTAACATTAGAAAAAAAAAATCTTACTATGTTTCACTTTCCCTTAGGCTTTTAAGGTAAATTCCAGTGTTGCAAATGTTTTGTAACCAGTTTCATTATTAGACATTCTCTTGTATCTTGAGGCAGTGAGACAGGGTAGCTGACTGGCCTACATGATGATGTTGTGTTTTTGTCCCTTCACATCTGGAGAGTATTTCCCCCCTTTCATTTCCCAGTAGGTATTTCTAAATAGCTTGTACAGCAGTTAAAACAGCAGGGTGGTTTTCTGGTAAGTATTGATCCTGTTCTAAGGATTAGCAATGCAGAGTCCTTAAAGTGACTATAAGAAAATGCTATTTTTACACTCAACAAAATGCTTGTTGTGCATTCAGAGTCTTATCTGCTGACTTGAATGACAAAAATGTCTCTTTTTACAGCTTTTTTTCCCCCTCCTGTTAGAATTGCAGAGCCAATGCTGAGGTAGAATACCTTTTTAGGGAAATTTGTTAATTGATAACAAATCTGCTTCAACTAAATCTTCTTCCATAACCAGTTTTAAAATTAAGAGCCCTCTTCGGCCTTCTGGATGGCATATATATAATGAGCAGTCTCCAGTAAGCTTTAGTAAGAGTTAGGCTAATGTCTTTGCCAGGTCAGGACCTCTCAGTATAGTTCTAACCCCACTTCTGCATTCCATCCTACTGAGCACCTGCTTAACTTTAGACATGTACCGTAGTCCCATTAACAAACATAAGTACATAGCTGAATAGGTATGGACTTAAACATGTGCTTAAATGCTTTGCTGATTTGGGATTTGTAGCTGGTGGTATTTGTACAATTGGGCTCTATGACAGAGTGGACCAGATTCTTTTCCAACTCGTGCATTATCAAGTAAATTGTTTACTAAGGCCCAGTCTACAGGTAAAGTTGCACTGTTGATTTTAAAACTGATGTAGCTAAAACGGTGAAACTTTGGCTGCAGACACTCTTCGACTGTTTTAAACCTGGCTGTTCGGCTTGCAGAGGTGCAAGCTAAACTGACATAAACCGGATTTAAATCTTTGAGTGTCCACACAAAGGTACTCTTAACTTGGTTTAATAGTGGCTTATTTTGGTTCATCTTAAACCCGTTCCTAACTGACTTAAGATAAACCAAAATAAGCCAATATTAAACCAAAATAAGTGTCTACATTAGGGTTTGTACCAGTACAACTGAACTCGTTTAATTAAACCACTGCAAGTTTGTGCAGACGAGGCTTAAATTGAACTTAAATTGTTTTAAGTTACAAAACTGCAATTTCTCTGTGTAGACAAGTGCTAAATTCTAATGAGTTATATATGTGCAAGCACACTGAATAATAATACCAACTTGGTGCTTAAAACTGAAGGGCATGGTGATCAGAGGAACTCTGCAAATCTTTTAAAAGTGCGGTTCCAACATGATCATGGATCTGTAAAAAAAAAAAGGCATTATGGGGAATCCAGACTTCTCTCCTGCTGATTTCCATGACAGAGCTGCTCAGTTTACAGGTTAAAACAAGTTTTATTTCTCTGCCAGCTCTGACAACTCGACCAAGGCTGTGAGAGCCATGCTAGTTCATTCCTTGATTTTTGACACACGAGGCTACTTTGAAATCCTTTGTAAATATCTTTTAACTTACCGGTTGCTAATAAAATAAGATGATGCAGTTTATTTTGTAATCTGTGCATTAACCCACATGCCAGATAGTTTTCTAAAACACTACTCAAAACCAGTTACTGCGCATATGCACTGTCCAACTTTTAAAACTTGAATCCATCGTCACTTAATTCTTTAACACCTGGTGATTTAGACTGTCTTTGAGTAATTGCTTGTCACATTACATTTTTTATTCAAGACCATAAGGGTTTCTAATGGAGCCCTAACATAACTTTATAGCACCTGAAATGGCCATAGTCTAATATTATGGGAATGAAAATCTGAAACCTCACACTCTCTTTTATGTTATATGTTTTATACCATATTACTAAAAGATGAGCTGATTGTGAGGAATGAATACTGTCTGCCTGTTTCTTTCAAAATAGGAAGAATATTCTTCGGTTTTTGGATGCTGAAAGAGATGTCTCAGTGGTCAAAAGCAGCTTCAAGCCAGGAGACGTAATTCACTATGTGCTAGACAGACGTCGCACCCTGAACATTTCTCAGGATTTGCATAGCCTCCTTCCTGAAGTTTCACCAATGAAGAACCGTCGGTTTAAAACATGTGCAGTTGTGGGCAATTCTGGCATCCTCCTGGACAGTGAATGTGGAAAGGAGATTGACAGCCATGACTTTGTAATAAGGTGAGCTTTCATCTGCAGCTGGGGATTATAGCCTGCTGTCTGTCACTTTCGGGGGGAGGGAATGGCAGAAATGCTTTAACCTGAGAGATCAATTTCCGGGATTATTTGGAATTACTGAGTAATTTATCTGAAGTGATATTTTCACTGTGTGATGCCTCAATTTTAAATACATTTTGGTATGGAAAAAATAAGATTACTTCTATATTGAAAATGAGAGGTGTGCACATTAGGAGGTAAAAGACAGATTCATATTACTTGTTGCTTGTGTTTGTTCATTTGTTTTATTCCAGATAAAATCATTACTCTGGCAGAAGAGTTGGTCCTATAAATGGAAAATTGTTCTTTTTCCAAAATTTCTTCCTGTCTCTTGGCCAGTAGATGTGGCCTAGCAGTAAACTACTCAATTACTTTATATACAGTAGTGGGGGGCAAAATTTCATTGTGATGCATTGGAATTTAGTCAGATGCTTTCTGGTAAGGTAACTGAAAGCCACACATCTCTCTCACTGCACATTGCACTGAAAATATATCCCTACAGCATGTACAAAAAGTTTATTTTCTTGAGTGTAGATACTCAAACATGTTCAACCGCCACAAAATTTTGTCTTAGGACTTCACAGATCAATGGCAAATTAAGAGCAGTTACTGGCTCCATTTGACAAGCTGTCATTATATGAACATACATAGATAAATTTAAACAAAAAAGATAGTCTGTGCTTTTTAGGCAAAGTCTCCATTGGTATGGAACCAGGAGGGTGAAATGATGGTGATAAAGAATTATTATATATGTAGGGTTAGCTCACATCACTGCTCCTGTTCTTGTTTTTCCTTTTCTATCTTGTACAAAACTGGTGGTCAAAGAAACTTGAAAAGGACGGGGTCTGTGAAAGGAAAAATTATAGTTCTTTTCTTTTCATAAGCCTGGGAGTTTCAAAAGCTTTCAGTGGAGGTTGGACATTTAACTCCCTTAGGCAGCTTTGAAATGCAAGCTAAAGAAATACATCACCCTTTTCCTAGTAGTCACAATTGGCAGGAATTATTGAGTAGTATTTTCTTCAAAGGCAAGATTTTAGGCTTGAATAGGGAAACGCAGCAAGTTTTTTAGAAAGACTTAAGAAAACCTCATTAGTATATTGGACAATGTAAAATACATTTCATCGTTCTTCATCACAGCTAGATATCCCATTTTATGATGATCTGCAAAAAGAGCACTTTTCCAAAGATGCTAATAAAAATGGATACAGATCCTTTGGATTCTATTATGGAAAAATGCTGCATGTCATTTAGGGTTGCCAAAGACATTAGATAGTCCTGCACCTTGCTAACTGAAGGGCCTGCCTTTTTTGTTTTGGACAGTGACACTGCAGAAAGCTGGGAGGACAGAGACAAGAAAATTATCAAGAGTTGGAAGCTATATTATAATGTCTGTCTTCGTATTCCATTCTGTCCTACAACACGTGACCCAAACACTGCACATACAGATATAGGAGCTATATTTTATTTTGGAATTATTTCAGTGACTGGCCAGAGACTGCCCTTTCCTTTTCCATGAGTGTTCGACTTGTACTGAGAACGTTTTGATTCTGCCAAGTTGGAACTCCTGCTTATAGCCAAGAGAGTTCATTATAAACAGTCCATTGCCTAACTGCACTTAGCCTGTAGCTTCTTTGTTGATGTTATGCCCTCTTGCAGTTTTAATGTGTTTGACTTGACAAGCTGCATAATGATGCAGATACCAGACTTTCTGCAGGAAGTTCTTCTATGTGAAAGCAAACTCGTGATTGTCCCTCAAAAAGGCCTGGATTCAGCAAAGTACCTAAGCATATATTTAACTTTAATTGTGTGCTTAATTCCTATTGAAGTCAAATAACTCATCGCTAAGACCTCCTGTGCCTATCCCCAAAACACATCTTTTCTAGTAGTGAAACCAGAGAATGAGCTCTAATATTAATTTTGAACTAACAAAGAATTTGAGCTCTATGGAATAAAGATAAAGTACGTTTGCAAAGGTTTAATCTACAGAAATTAGCCTGTGAATAAAAGGAAAATGATAAAGCTCAGTATGAACATCAGGAAGCAAAACCTGCAATTTAGATTGAAGGCACATGTATCACTTCAATGCAGTCCCATCACATCAGAGGAACTAGCCATAATAATCAATATTCCTAGTATTCCAGAATATGGTCAGATTAGCCAAGAGTGAATCCTTCATATGAACAAGAGGCAAGGAAGTGAGTGTGTGACTTTGGAGTATGTATGGTACAGAGATTTTATTCACTGGTCAGACCTTAAAACTCTTCAGAAGTGCACAGAACGTGTATGGCTAAACTGCATTCCGAGACCTTTCACTGCTTAAAGTATGTAGTAAGGAAGTCCTTTAGGAATTATGGGAGAAGAATGAATATATCTTTTTGCTAGAAGGAGGAGAGAAAGGAACCTAATAAAAGTAAACCGCACTCTATGCTTCCTTCATGCTGGATAATTGTCTTGCTGTAAGGGCTCAGGTATGAACTCCATGAACTGACTTTGCTGCTGCTTTTGGTTGATGTCTCTGAAAATAAAATATACACATCTTATTCACCACGCTTCTTTGCTTTTCTGAAAAAGCAGTTGTATAGGCTATATTGGACTCACAATTGACCATACAAACTAATGAAGAAAGCTTCTGTAGACTCTAACATTTTTGTGTAGTATAAGCAAACAATTTTAGAGAGATACTTACATTGGTTTGGTAAAACTAAATAATATTCTGTTAATTTTGGTAATACTGTGTTTTCCTCTTAAGAGATTCATGAAAGGAAATACATAACAAAAAGTATGTATGTGATTTATTAGAACAGGAGTATCTTGATCACACTACCCCTAGTATCCGTGGTCTTCTTAATTTGATGGTGGCAGCGATAGTGAAAATGAGACCAGAGTCTGAAGATAAGGAAGGTACTTCAGACATTGTACAGTATTTGAATTGTGATACAGTAAATCCAGCAATCTTGCATTACAGTATGATGGAATTGGATACTACATTAAGGTAACCTGAAAATATTAATAACCAATGAAATGACTTGGACACCCTAAAAGCATTATCAAGTGTAGAAGGAAGCATTCACTATGTAGCTTATTTAAATTTTATAGTGTCATATCTCTAAGGTAATCATCCAAGGTCATTAATAACTGGCCCCCTTTCTGTGAAACATCAGTGTGCTGTAGGCTGATGTGTCAGACCTATCATAGTCCCTTGGAGCATGCAGCTAGCTCAAGGAGAAAATAACTAGGTTGTGTTTAAAATGTTTCTTAAGCCAGATTTTTTAAAAATAGGTACCTAATAAAGAGAGACAGTGTATGCATACATGGGAACAAACAGGTAATTGTGCTAGTAAATTACAGTTGCATGAATGCAATTATCACTCCTCTTTACAGAGTGCTAAAAATATATATGTAAACACACAACTGTATTTGCAAATGCAGTTGTATGTTTTGTCAGTGTAACTATCTATTTTTACCATATTTAGGGCACATCTTAAGCAGCTATTTTTGAGGTAAAGCATAACTCTACATATGCACAGGACTTGATTCTTTTCATGCACCAGTGTAAATCAGGAGTAACTTCTTTTCAGGGGCCAGATCTTCTGCTGGAGTAAAGTGGCTGAGCTCTGTCAAGTTCAGTAAAGCTACAACAGCTTAAGCATCAGAAGGTCTGACCCAGCTGAGTTAACTTAGTGAGAGAGGAGAATCAGGCCTCTCTTCTCTTAAAATGGTACTGATTGCAAATTGTTTTCTCTTCAGATTCTTTCCTCGTCACCTTTTAAAGCTAGGTGTATCCAAGTAAATGAGCCCTGATCCCTGCATCCACAGTACTGATGTGGTAAATCACAGCATGTAGCATTTCTGTATGATACCATGAAAAGGTTCCTTAACTCCAAGAACACCTGTCACTCTATGAAAGGAATCAGTGCTGTAAAAAAATAAAATACACTGATTACTTGCAGGCTGCTGAGAAGTGGCCTGGCTCAACTTGCTGCTGTTCTGTAGTTCTCTAGCTGTTGAATCAGACAGATATAAGATGGTGTTCTTGTCTAAGATTAAAACAGGTCAGGCTTGTTCCTCCACTGAGGATGTTTTCTAAACAATATTTCTACTGCTGTTGCTCTCAGGAAAAAAAAAATACACTTGCAGTAAGATTCAGTAGATCTCTGCAGCTCTAAGGATTCCTTTCCTTTGTCTGCATAGTATGATTGTGCTTTTTCTTTGAAGATAAGTTGCAAGGATTTAGACAACCAAACAGACAATAGCCATAGGACTACATGTGCTGAATGCCCCCAAATGACGAGGGTGAAATAGGCATTCAGGACACAAACGATTTTAACCTTAACCATTTTTCTGACCAGCTCTCACTGTCCGAGTTTTTCAAGCATGAACTCTGCTAGTGATGTTACACCCACTAAAGAGTATAGAGCTAACCTTAGTAGGGCAAGCAAGTGGCAATTTTTTTTTGTTTATATGGTGGTTTTAAGACCTTTGTTTAAAAATATACAATTTTATATTTTTAGACATATATTGTAAGATAATTGTAATGTTTCCAGGTATCAAAAAAGAGCCACTTGTGTACGTGCCAAGAAATGAGTTCAGGATTCTGATTTTTCCTATAACAGCTCGTGATTTCATGAGCGCACACAAAAATTCAGTTTACTTTTAAGAACGCTGAGGATTTAAGAAAAACAGCTTTGTTTTGTCCACAGGACTTACGGATTCTGATATTCACTCAGGAAACCTTTGCACTGTCACAATAAACTATCTGCAGCTACACTGCAAAGTAAGGACCAGATTCTGCCTGCCTTACTGACACTGAGTAGCAACTTACTCCACAAAGAATCCAGACCTAAATATATTAGTGTGGGCTAGATGGAGCATTTAGGCTTATCCTTGAGTAAGGGGCAACGCCTACTCCTCTGCTTTAAGAGCAGCTCTGTGAGGAAATTGTAACTTGCCTGCTCCCATCTTCT